CTCAACTACATTATCATTTCATTGTCCTGTCGTTCCAACTCCTACAGTAACTCATCTGGGTGGAATATGTCTGTTGTGTTGAGAATTCAAAACACACACACACACACACACAAACACACAAACACACAAACACACAAACACACAGAGCACCACCATGGGGGTTGGTGGTATTGTTGATTATGTACCCGATTGAACTTCCATCCACAATGAATTCACACGTTCCCATACACGCATGCAATTACAGAGTAGACTCAGAGGAGGCAAATCCACACAAAACCGGAGAGAGGATATGCACAGCGGAATCTCAAAACACACACAGAATTGAAAAACGAATTTCAATTCTGCAATCCCTCATCCTCCTCCAATCAATCCAGAGTACTTGTTCCAAGAATCACAACCGCGTTTACAACAACCCCGAACAACCAGAAACAAGTGTTCAACGAAGTATGCAGGAGTCTTCTTCTTCCTCCTCGCCACCTCATACCCCTCCCTGGCTATGGCTGCCGCAGCAGCAGTAACCCCCCACAGCTGTCACAACGTGCCAATCGGAACCAGCAACCCCAACGATTACAGCACCAGCTAAACAACCGCACGGAAGTGCAGCGATGGAAGTCCTGATGAAGAAGGAGACAACTGATCCAGCACTTCGAAGAAGACAAAGTTCCCCGAGAGGAGGAACAGCAGATATGGCTGCCAAGTGGAAGATGGCAGCGCACCCAAACCCAACAACACGGTCCTGTGGAAGCTCTCATGCAGAGCCGCGAAATAGCAGCAGTTCTATCTTCAACTTCGTTTCCCAACCCCAGCTATGGCTGGGCTTCGAGGAAGAAGATGACCTCGCCCAAAACAGAGCAGCAGCGCTCCAGCAATGAACGGGCAGAGTTTCCCCAGCCAACAAAACGTGAAAAGCCCCAAACTAATTTTCCTGCCCGCTACTTCTACACTCCGGTAGACCTACGACGGCCTCCTCAAAGCAACAACCCAAGACCTATCTGTATCTAGATAGATGGGAACAGGGGAAAAGCCGCCTAGACCTATGACAAGGCAAAAGAAAAAGGCGGAATGGCCTAGGACTACCAAACAGAGACTACTGGTGACCCACACAGGTATCAAGTCCCATAGGACTCAAAACTAACAAACAAAACACATACAAATTACAGGTCACGGGATCAAGTCCCGCAATTACGTATGGCACTCACTCTTTCTTTTCTTTTCTTTTCTTCGAGCCTGAATCGGACTAAGATAGACAACGCTCAAAACAAGAAAACAAACTACAAAGCCAAACACTTAGTGTACAGCCCCACTGGAAAACTGCAATTTATTGCAGTATTATGTGGCCCAGGTGATAGTATCATAGTACCATGCAGGCTGGGTTGTATTATGTGGGCGGCGTAATGTGACGAGGCTGGGATGTGGACACCCACCTCACCCTCCCCCCTTCCCCCCCCCCCCCCACCAAAAAAAAAAAGAAAAAGAAAAGAGAAGAGAGAAAGTGGCCCCGAATTAGACAACCTCTATGAGGTTAGTATGAACCCCAAAAATATGTACACGTCCTTCGGGACATCCATTAAAATTGGAACGATACAGAGAAGATTAGCATGGCCCCTGCGCAAGGAGGACACGCATAAATCGAGAAACGGTCCAAATTTAGAGAAAAAAAAAAAAAAAAAAAAAGTACACAGACACATACCAATCCCTCACAGTGCCAAAACAAAAGCGGGGGTAGCTTGAGAAAAGCGCCGCTTCAGTGGTGGTTAGATTTGGAAGGTGAGGTTCCATTCTCAGAGCACTTGACAGGATGAAGTTTGCAACTTTGCATCTCTTCTGTTGCGTCTTTTGACTTTTACTATAAGTTTTATATGTTTCAATTCTTTCGAGAACTTTCACGGCCTTTCGAAATCTTTCGAGAACTTCCGACAACTTCCAACAACTTTCGACAGTCGGACATCTTGGACTACTTCCATAGAGAATGGTCAGGAGTCAGGACAGAGGAGTAACAATCTTCTGAAGAAGAAAAAAAAGAGGGAATAGCATTATAGCACAGATGTATCATCAATGATCTCGTGGGCGCACGGGTCAATCATGGAGGAAGCAGAGTTTCTCATTTATCCATGATTCCATGGATCAGATGAGAAGCCCGTATTTTTCTGTTTGTGTACACTTGAGGTAGTGGCCTTGCACTGCGCTGGGATAGGACCATGAATGATCTTCCTACGAGGAGGAAATGATGGTGGTCGAGAGGGGTAAAAAAAAAGTACATATTCCCGCTGTACGGGGACAAAATCCCATTAAATCAATTTAAAATTTAAATGATTAAAAAAATTAGGCTACCAGAGTGGCCCGGGGCCACTTGCCCGGCCGGGCCAAAAAATAATGAATAAATAAAAATTCATTTTCAATGTGACCCTGAGGCAAAAGTTGTTCAGTTCATAACATAGTTCTTTTTTCGGATTATTTTGAGTTTTTGATTTGTTTATTTTTTGCTAGGACCTTCCCTGGTCCTTGCACGGCCGGGCCGTCCTGGGAAAACAGGGTGACCCGGGCGGCCCGGCTGGTAGCCTAGTAAAAAAATATAAAAAGTAAAAAAGGTAAAAGAGAAAAGTGCCATTTCAGGTTTGGCGCTGGACTTCAGGTTGGGGCGCTTGGTCGTTTTGAGATCCCGTAGAAAATGCATCTTTGATACCTTTGGTACTACGTAGCACCGTGTTCTCTTTCGGAGGCGAACACGAACATGTTCGCCCGAAGCGCCAAAGTTCTCAGAAAAATCTGAAAACAATATATGTTATGTAAAATAACAATACAAGCAACTTTTGCCTTGGAGTCATGTTCAAATTCGTAGCCAATCATGAGTTAAAATTCAAAAACCAAAAAAAAAAAAAACAATTTATTTTTTTTATTTTTTTTTTACGGAAAAAAAAATATGTTCGCTCGAACATGTTCACGAGCTGTTCGGGCAAACGTGAAGGGGCGCGAACACGTTCGCCGTGCTACACAGCTTGGGTATTAGCTACAGCTTGTATTCATTCAGTCATTTCATTTTCGTTGAATTTTTGGACCTTCTTCTTAAACATTCTGACTTTTTTCTCTTTTTTAATAAAACCTGGGTTGCAAAAAAGCGGACCGCATTGCACCACTACGTGGTCTGGGTGGCACTGCGAGACCTTGGCGGTACAATGTCGGTTTTAGTCGTACCATGTAGACAGGGGTGGTATTATGTAACAGCAATTTCATCAAAAGATTCAAAACGGACTTTTTGTTTTCTTTTTTTCTTTTTTAACGAGATTGAAACCGAGTAAATACTAAATCGGCCTGATTTCGGTCAAAATTTTTAGCTCTTGAGGGTCCTGCATTCTTAAAATGCCAAACCCCCAGGCATGCCACATTGCCAGAGGAGGTCAGACATCGCATACAAGGTGCGGTGATGAACATGTAGACAATCATTAGCAGATGAGCCCATAACGTCAGGAGAGTGTAGCAATGTGCCTGATTGCTATCTTCATGCCCCATTTGCTGCTGATAGAGGTCAGCAATTTGCATTCTCCCGTGTGATAGTCAGGGCCCATAATCATAACGTCCTGTCCCCACCTCTTGGGCGAGTCCTGAGCTCAGAGCTGTGTGGGAGGGTGAGTTATGAACTGCCAGCTGTGCAGGGTGGGCGCATGATGAGCTTCCATGTCCTGCATGGGGGGTACACACCCCCCCCCCCCCCCCTCAACATACGCGAAGAGACCACTGTAGGGGGGCAAGGTTTCTGTCGCCAAGTGCACAATCGCAAAGAAAGAATTGGCGATTGACCCAGCAGCAGAAAGGGAGAGAAGGACAAAAAAAGCCGTCGGTGTGGCGGATTTTCATCAGCGAGCTTTTGCCAACTACAGTCCCCGGACTTCCTTTTGAATTGCCGACGGCAAGAGAAAGGTGTAAACAAGGTTCCGATGGACTGTGGGCATCGCCACACCACTCTCGAAATGTGCAAAATGAGAATGAACTTCCCGCTAGAACATGGCCAGATGCGCCCGCCAAATTTTTGTCCTTTTCACATTTCGAGAGTGGTGTGGCGAGGCCCTGTTTCAGCGGACTGAACCCCGTGGTGCACATCAGACCCTGACGTCTAGAGACTGTTGACATGTTCTATACTCGAGGTGTCCGGAAGAATCCAGGTAGGTCCGCTGTGACCAGAGAGCTCATCCCCTCCCCTCCCCCCCCAAAAAAAAAAACAATAGCCCCTGAAAACCCCCCTATACCCCCCTATACCCCCCCTCCAAACCCCCCATACCCCGCCCAATCCCCAATTTTCAGCGGATTTGGGCTGTACTCAGCAAGCGCAGTACATCCCCCAACTCAGATGTGAAAAAAAATCAGTGGATGGTTGTTTTCTGACTGGTCGGCAGACCGCCGACCGGTCGGCCCAACTGGTTGGCTGCAATACGGTTGGCGGTCGGGGTTGGCGGTCGGCAGGTATGCAACCCTGCTGCTAAGCCTTTTTATGCGGTAATTCATTAGGAAATGATAACATCAGGATGCCTGATTATTTGTTTAGCGCTGCCCCGTGCGGGGAGTCTAGCATGGGCATCTGGAAAGACTACTGCTGCTGCTAAGCCTTTTTTTGACATCTAGATGTGTATAAGAGACAGCCCCACCCCCATCCCCAAAAGTTTCCCAGAGGATTTCGGCTGCCCTCAGCAAGCACAGTACAGGCCTCGACTCAGATTTGGAAAAAAGTCGGCGGATGGCCGCGTCTACAGACTGGTTCAGCCCTACTGGGAGGCTGGAAAACGGTCGGGGGGCTGTCGGCGGGTGTGCAACCCTGCCTGTGGCCATGAAAACTTCACTTGATCAGATGCTGGATAAGTCATCCAGATTCAGTCATTTGCTGCCATAAAGAAATAAAGAGAGAGGTGCAAGGGGATGGGAAAGGAAGGGAGGGAGGGAGAGAGGGCGACACAAATCGACAAACTGACAACAGCGCTCAAGGCATCTTCCATGGATGATACAACACTTACTCATGATTCCGAAGCCGTAATAAGAGCATCGTGCAGGCAGACATATCATCAATTGCACCCATAGCTTGGTGACTGGCCCCTCTCGTCGTCCGTCTTCTCTTCGAGTTCAATATCAAAGCCAGGTCCTGATAAGATCAGTTGCATCAACACCGTTGACTTACAGCAATTACCACAAAAGGACAGACTGACTCTACCATTCGACCAGAGAGAAGCCCTCAACAGGGGTACCCATTGCTCAGATGCCTTCAAGATTACAAAACCTCTGCCAAATCAGGGAGCAATGTGCAATCTCTACACAGATACCACACTTTGTATTTGCTTTTTTCAAGTTTTTTGCCTTTTTTTTTCAATTTTTTTTTTCGTTTTTCTTTTTTCTTTTTTCTTTTTTCTTTCTTCCGTTTTCCAAGGAAAAAAAATTCAAAATATCCACTGAGCCCCTGAAATCGAATGCCATTTCGGCTGTGCCCCCCAAAAAGCACCCCTGTCAGTTGTGCCCAAGCACTTGGGCATGCAACTTTTTCTGTCACAAGTTACAACCCAGGGTATCGTTTGGGACCCATACGACCCTCAAAATTGTGGTTAAAGTTCCGTTAAACACGCGTAGAGGACATGGCAAATTTCACCTATACCTGGTACCCAGAAAATTTCCCTTATACCCCTATACCTGTCAACAAATTATCCCCCATACCCAGGGGCCCCATAGGCTGCTTCCTCCTCCTGCTCTCTCTCTCTCTCTCTCTCTCTCTCTCTCTCTCTCTCTCTCTCTCTCTCTCTCTCTCTCTCTCTCTCTC